AATACTTTAGCACATTGATCAGTTAAACCTGGTATCTCCAAAGCGAATCAATAGTTAATCAAAACATTGATCAGGCGCATTCCTTTTTTCCCTGATTTTCAACAAACACTGTAAATCCAAACTGCGTATTTCTTTTGACTGGCTCAAACAAACCAATGTGAATTCAACCCAAATGCGGTCTTTTACTGATTAAATGAAAACAATGCGAATTCAACCCGAATCTCGGAATAACTTGCAAAGTGCTGTGGAATTTTAACCTTTCTGAGAGTATGCCCACAAAAACCTTAATTCCTGATTAAATGCCAAAGAGCGTTCACCTGATCAAAATTGAGTCAAAATCAACCAAAACCCTAAGCCAACTGTGTGAAATAATCCAGAGCCCTGAAAAATCAATAAAACCCTAATTGTGTCCTGACTGACGAGAAAAGTCCGTTTGTCCGATTCTTGAGCCAATCTGAAAAATCAGGAAACGCCTGAAGCTGTGATTTCTTGTGGAAGAATGCGAGGGCAAATTTTGGGGTACAACACTAAGCATTGGGAAAGGTCCAGGGAACATCAAGCATGCTCAAAAGAACCTCAGGCCTCACTGAAAGTTGCTGCATTGCCATACTCGAGCTTGACTGAAACAGGTAAAGTTCAAACTTCTATCTCTCTATTTAGGAAACATTAGGCTTAGGTTTGTGAATAAAAAATGTAGTCCTCATTGCCCTTGAGCTGTACATATGTATAGAATTCATTTAAGTTAACTGAGCTGGGAGAATTTGAATGATGAACTTTCTGGAAAAAACTAGGTTAGAAATTAGGGCCAGAGAAATTCTCTTTGGTCTTTGAGAGTTAGGTTAAGTTTTTTATATGGTTAGAATCGTATGATCATGCTCTATAACTTTCATGTTGCAAGTTTTTGTTTTTAAGCACAAATGCAGGAGATACGAGTTTGAACCATTGGCGCGCGTTTTTCTATTTCAGAAGGACAGGGATGAAGTGGAAATCTTGGACTGGGCTTGTTTGCTGGCTATTGACACCCCCTTGCTTGTTGTTTACACCCCCTTGGCCCATTTCATTATTTTTTCATATTTTTCATTTCTTTTTTCATTTTCTGACTTTTATTTATTTTTCTAAATATTAAAAATTACCAAAAATAATTTCTTAAATTTTCACATTTTATTTTATTATTTTTATTATTTTTTTTGGACATAGAAATAATTTATTAATAATGATATACTTTTATTTTCTTAAAATAAATTCATAAATAATACAAAAATATTATATTTTTTTATTTTTTTATTATTTATATACTTAAATAATATTTTTATCACACATTTAATTTTTTAACATTTTGTATATATTTTATTTTATTTTTCTTGTACATAAATAAATAATTATAATATATATATTTTCTTAAACCAAAAAATTAGGGTTTTACCCTTTTCATAAATAATCTTTTTATTTTCTTATTTTTTAAGACATTAAATAATTTATTTTACATACATAAAATAAAATACAAAAAAACATTGTACATATTTATATTTAATTGTCCATTTAAGTATTTATCTATTTATTTATTTGTACAAAGAATTCAATATGGTTGTAATAATATTAGGGTTTTATGTTCTTGCAAATATCCCCATATTCAAACTTGTATCCCCCTCCCCATAATCATGTTGTAATAGTCGTAGATTTATTTTTACGCACTTTATTGCTTTTAAATATGCATGATAGAAAGATTAGGGTTTGTATGCAAAAATCCAAAATCAAACAAATAGCTTGACTAATATAAGACAAAAAATGCATGAAAATTGACAACACAATGCACACAAGCACCCCTAGGGTTTCATCCACTTGTTGCCTTTAAAATGGCCATGGTATGCATGCTAGGTATCTTGGCAAAACAAAACAAAAACAAAAGATCATAGTCCCTCGATGACGCTATCTTGGTTGCCTATACAAAAAATGATCTAGACCCTCAAAAACTCTCTAAAGATACTTAGCACCATTTCTATCATGGTCAATACGATGACCCGCGCCTGTCCCGTTTAACATCCAAACACAAGGTTGTTTACCAAATGCAATGGTAAAACAACAATGTCAAAGGGTTTAAAATGTGTAGGAAAGATCTTTCAGTAGGTAGGTAGATGCTCCTAGTTACTTGATCAAAACATGCAAAACATCCTTGTTATTTTCAAAAACACATCACAACACAATTTCAAAACATTTCCCAAAACAAACTTTCAAACATTGAAACGTTTTTCAAAAGACAAACACCTTTGTATACATTCAAACGAGAATCATTACAAAGGTTGCCACAACGATGGCCTCTTTTCAAAATACTTTGAAAACCACACACAAAAGCACCATTTCAAACAATTGAAAAAGCAAAGTAAGTGATCTAAAACAAGTAACTAAGAGCCCATGGAAAACCATGGATGAAAAGGGTGCTAGCACCTTCCCTATTCATAATCTACCCCCCAAACCCAAAAACAATCTCAAAGATCTTTCCTGTGCTTTTTGACCTTTCCTTTGGATAAAATAAAATGTCGGTGGCGATTCTTGCTAAACCGAAACATTTGCGAACACAAACGCAAAACCACAAGTCAGTTCTCCCACCGCATCACAGACAGTACAAGTATAATGTGGACATGGAACCTGACCGTGATTAACTCAGGGAAATGGTTCAGAAAGATAAGGAATCGTTTAAAGAGTATGCACAAAGATAACGTGAAGTAGCCGCCCAGGTGATCCCTCCAATGGAAGAGAAAGAGATGAAAAAGATTTTCCTAAAGACTCTAGGTGCCTTCTACTATGAAATAATGGTGGCGAGTGAACCAAGTGATTTTACCGAAATGGTGAGTATGGGTGTTTGTTTGGAAGAAGCTGTAAGAGAGGGTCGTTTGACAAGAGGTGAAAATTCTGGTAGTACCAAGAAGCCTTCATATGGGTTTTCCAGGAAGAAAGAAGGAGATACAAATGCTGCCATTTAAGAGAGAAGGGTTAATCCTCCTAGAAGAAATCATTAGCGCCACCAACAGGTTTCTTCGGTAAATCCAGTTGTCAATGTGGCTCCGACCACAATTGCTTATCAAATACCATCCCTTAGGGAAATTAGGGGCATAATTAGAAGAGAGAGGATTCCGACTCTATTCCCATGAGCTATGCAGAGTTACTCCCGATGTTAATTCAAAAGAAGTTGGTTCAGACCAGGCCACCCCATCCTATACCCTCACCTCTACCCTGGTATTATAAGGCAGACCAGACGTGTGCTTTTCATAAGGGAGCCCTAGGGCACAACATTGAGAACCGTTATCCTTTGAAATCTGAAAAAGAAAAGATGGTGAGATCTGGCCTTTTATCCTTTAAAGATTTTGGACCTAACATGAAAGATAATCCTTTTCCTAAGCATGAAGGAGAAAATGCGGTAAATATGGTTGTTGGTTGTCCAGAGGACTTCCATATTGTTGATATGAACCTGGTTAGAGGAGATTTGGTAAATATGCATGCCGACCTTTGCGAGTTTAGTTACTATACGCATGACTATGCTGACCACTGAGAGTTTAGTTACTATACGCATGACCGTGCCATACAAGTACAATGTTCCAATTTTGGAGGACGGTGTGGAAGTTTACATCCAACCTTTGTCTGATGTCAAGAATATTGCTGAGGCCAGCCGAGTGACCCGTAGTGGTCGTGTTTTCTCACCTGTCATTCGAGGGAATGTTAATGCTGATACGAAGATTGTTGAAAGTGTTAAGCCCAAGAAAGCAGTGGGGGAATCTAGTGGTACTACACTGGAAAAACATGTGGATGATATATTGAATATTATCAAGATGAGTGACTATATAATCGTAGATCAATTGTTGCAGACTCCATCAAAGATATCTATTCTAGCCTTGTTGATGAACTCTTACCCACAAGGAATCCTTGATGAGAGTATTGGATCAAGCTTTTGTGGAAAGTGATATGCCATTGGAAAAATTTAGCAGCGTTGTAGGGAATATTACATCCTATAATAACCTGAGTTTCTACGATGACGAATTGCCTGATGAAGGAAGGAATCATAATTTGGCTCTCCATATCTTCATGAACTATAAGAACGATTCATTGTTAAATGTGTTGATTGATAATGAGTCCGCTTTAAATGTCATACCAAGTGTCGCACATGTGTAAAAATTAATGCGAACAAAAGAAATATAGTGGTAAAGATTTGATATTAATCCATAAATTGACTAATCTCACTCAATGAATTCGCCACCACACTTTATTGTATCCAAAGGGGAATGGGAAAAAAGAGAACAAAACCCACAATGAAATAAAAGATCACAGATCGAGGTACGGGGGTCGGTTATGCAAAGGGAATGTATTAGCATCCTAAGCATCTACGGTACTCCGCAGGATCCACTTTATTTGTTTTATTTCAAAATGTGTGTTATCTAAAGGCTTACTTGCTAAAGGAAAATAATGAATGAGTATTTGTAAACAAACGCAAATGTTTTCTTATCATTTTTGCTCGCCTTGGGTCATAAGACTTAGTGCCTACGTACTCCCTCGTGCAATGGGAAAGACAGAGCACCGTAGTTTATCTGGAAAAGACTTGCTTGTTGATTGATTTTACACAAAGAGACAAGATAGCGTTTGAATTACGCGGCTCAAATTACGCGGCTCGAGAAGAAAGCGTTTGAATTCAGGATCTAGGCCATGCTCCAGAGCTTGATTTCTGGGAGCGAAGATAGTTATATTGTGTTTCCCAACAACTTCTTCGAGTTTCTGAAGAAGAAGAGCCTTTCAACACGTTCAAATAGTTCAGTGCAATGAGAATCAAGAAGTGCAACGAGGATGGAGTTAGATTAAGGAAGGGATTCATGTGGTTTTTGGAAGGTAATGAGGTAGCAAGGCTATTAAATTAAGGGAAAATGGAGTTTGTCTCACAGATTGGAGAAGAAGAGAGTTTGTGGAATACAGAGGGATTTTGTGTGCATTTGCGGAATGGAGCGTCACGATGATGATGGCTACAGAGGGATTTTTGAGGGAACATGTTGTGTGAAGGCTTGTGTTGGGAGCGGAATCCGGTGGCAGTTTGGTTGTGAGGTGGAGATGTATGGTTGATGAACAAATATGGATGGTGGATACAGGGTGCTGCGTGGAGGGAGTATATCAGAACAGTGGGTTATGGTGCTGGATGGTGGATGAAGTAAGTGAAGGAAGGTTGATGATATGAGGATGGTAACCGATGTGAAAAGAGAGGGATTTATGGGAATTGAAAGCAGAACCAGTGGTGATCCGGAAATTATAAAGATGATGGTGAGAGCAAGCGAATGAGCTAGGTGGAACTGGTGATGAATGTAGGAAGATGAATAGAGCTCATTGGAGAAGAAATTCATATTGGTTATTAGAAGTGATTGGAGAATGAAATTGAAGGGAATTCTTGATTTTGGTGGTTTACTATGATGATAAGATGAATGGAGAATGAGGGAATGGTGTTCGCGGATGTGAAGAAACAAAGGAGAAATTTCGTTTTGCGTGAAAAATGAAGAAGGTTGATGGTGATTAACAAAATGAAGGTGGTAATGTATTGAAAGAGGAAGATAGTGATGAACAAAATTGAAGTTGAACTAGGTTTTTTTCCAATTTCTTTTCTTTTTCATTTCCGTGTTTTCAACTTGGAATTTGCCTCTGCTTTGTTGTTGTTTCGTACTCTTCTAGACCCGTGATGAAATTCACATCTTCTCTATTTATAACACAAAAATATTGGTTTAACTAATTTTCTAAATGACCAAAAAGCCCTCTAATAATAAAAATAACACAAAATTTTAAAGTATAAAAATTAATTCAATTAAATTTTTTTTTTCTGAATAAAAAATAGAGACCCAAAATGACTAAAAACGATAAAAAAATGGACATTAATCTATCCGAAAAAAAGAAATGAACACATTAAAATAAACTACATGTCACAAAGATTAATAAAAAAATGTTCGAATGATAAAAAATGAAATAAAATGAGAATAAAAATATCAGGTTGAACAAACGCTTACGGTTAAAAACGAGACTTTAACTGTACCAAAAAAATGAAACGAGCTTACCATCATGATCCACGTGAAACGCATATTCATAAAATGATCAGTAAAAGGTAAAAACTTGAAATTTTTCTCGCTAATTTTCCTCACAATATCGAATTGCTTTTAACGATCTGTCTGTAAAACCGAAATATTAATATTATCGACATATAAACAACTTAGAGCAATGCAAGAAACGAGTAAAGAGATAAAAATGCATGAAGTGAAATACCAGGCGTTTTTCAACTACAAAATGATGCAAATTTCGATTTAAACTGACTTTTGGTCAACTTAAATACGACTAATGATGCAAAATGTGATGAATGAAGATATTTATTAATTATTGTGACCAAATAACAAAATATGATAAGATAATGCGACTAAAAAAGTTAGGGGCGAAATTTAGGGTGCAACAACTGCCCCTATTTAATTATCTTTCAGCCAGATAGGCGGAAAATAATTAAATACAAATATACTTGAATTTCGTCCTTGATGCGATGAGATTATAACATATGTTATGAATGAATGCATGCACTCTTTTTTGACATATATGTTTTTTTGTACATGATATGATATGAATGCAAAGAATAAAGACATTATTTGGAGAAATGTGAAACAAAAGATTTATGAAATATTGAAAGAAATGATGTGGAAAGATACGCTATGGAATACAAGGTATTCTGGATATCCATCGGGATGACAAGGAGTAACTAGAAACACTTGAAAAGGGGAGACAAACACTGAAAAGGAAAGTAGCAACATCAAAGAATGACATTGAATGGGGCGAGCAACTCTCTGGAAAAAACAATCAGAAGCATCTAGAAGAACATTAGATGTAGGATGATGCCAAATCTGAAACTACATCAGAGTCGTCCAAGAAAGACGCTGGACGGAAAAAAAACACAACATCCAATAACCTATTTTAGATGAAGGGAAAACTTATGTCTAATGATTGGCTTTATACGAGGGAAAAGATTACAACATCCAATGATTTGCTTTGAATGAGGTGAGATGAATAACCATGACATCCAATAATTGGCTTTGGATGAAGAGCGACCATAACATTCACTTATTTTCTTTGAATGAAGGGAAAAAGGAATGATATCTAATAATTGGCTTTAGACAACAACAAATATCACGACATCCAATATTGGCTTTGGATTGAAGTAAAAGATCATGGCATCCGATATTGGCTTTGGATGAAAGAAAAGATCACGACATCCAATATTGGCTTTGGATGGCAACAAAAGATCATGGCATCCCATATTGGCTTTGGATGGCATGGAGAAATATGATATCCAAGATTAACATTGGTTAAAAGTGAAAAGTAGCACACCCAATATTAGCATTGGACAGAAAGGGAAATCAACAATAAATCCAATATTAGCTTTGGAATAGAAACAATACACCCAATATTAGCTTTGGACGAAAAAGAGAAAACGCCAATAAACGCAATATCGGCTTTGGATAGAAACAACACACCTGATATTAGCTTTGGACGAAAAAGACAAAACAGAAATAAACCCAATATTAGCTTTGGAATAGAAGCAACACACCTAATATTATCTTTGGACGAAAAAGAGAGATAACTTATCCAAGATTAGCATTAGATGGAAAGAAAGACAGCTCGTCCAAGATTAGCATCAGACAAAAGAGAGAAATAGCACATCCAAGATTAGCATTGGAAAAAAGAGAGAAACAACTCATATAATATTAGCATTGGACGAAAGAGAGAAACAACTCATCCAAGATTAGCATTGGACGAAAGAGAGAAACAACTCATCCAAGATTAACATTGGACGAAAGAGAGAAATAGCTCATCCAAGATTAGCATTGGACAAAACAGAGAAACAACTCATCCAAGATTAGCATTGGACGAAAGAGAGAAACAGTCGAACTGGAATCTGCTTTGATAGGTGCCAAGTAAGTTGGACTTTGATCTCAAGGTGACATGTCGACTGCAACAAGACCTCGGCAAATGCAAATAAGGATTAAAGACTCTTGTTATGCATTATATATGAATTTGTCATGCATGATATGTGAATGATCTATTCATGTAATGCAGATGTTTATGACAACCGAGTTTGACTCTTTTGTGGAGGTAAGATTGGATGTTTTATTCCTCAACACAAAGAACTCTGCCAAATTTTCTTGGAAAGAAAATGTCTTGAACCCATATTTGTCACACTTATAAACTGTATTGAACTGATGATCTTCTGAGGAAGGACACAGAGAGATGCTTGGGGATTTGTCCCATATTAGCTAACTGTTGAGGATAAACTAATCATGGCTTCAGTTCTTGAAATGAATGTTGGAAATGAATGCCCCAGTATGAGTCTTGAAAATGATCTTCTAGATAACCAATTATGAAAAAACTCTCACTGAGCACCAAATCTTGAACTAGTTCACAATTGGATCTGGAAGATATTTGTTCCTAATAGGGTCACTGACCAAGTTTCTCAACTGTTTGAAATCTCTTCATGAGAAAAACTTGTTTGCAAGCAAATATTATTCATTCAACATGGTAATTTTAATGCAAAAATTTCGTGCAAAAGTTTTGAATTCAAAATCATTTTTGAAATGATATTATTGGTGTGTAAAAAATGCATCACTGGTCAAAACACAGTGGTGTATACTTTTAAAGTGAAAGAGAAAGCAAATGCATGGATATACTAAGACAAATTATTTGCAATAGAGCTTAGGAGTTAGTTTATGCAACCTTGTTGTAGTATGCTTTCAAAAGAAACCTGATTTCAATTAGGTCTTTTGAGGGTTGTAACGTGGTTTGGTTCACAGTTTAAGAAATAAAGGATAAAGGCTCAAAGTTTATTTGTACCCAACCCAATATTCGTGATGTTATTCAGTCCTACGTTCAGTTAATTCAGATTATGCATTCAGGTTCCAAGAGATTTTGGAATTGCACTGATGGTAGCAATGACGATGATTCAAAAACCAAGGAACTTTTGAGAATGGAAGTTGTTGTACCCTAAAATTTGCCCTCTCATGTTTTCCAAAGTCTTCCCCCTGCATGTTTGATCAAAAACTCTTGCCCAAGGAAAAGGAAATTTTTTGAGTGGTGCTTTAAGTACATTTCGATTGGCATTCTGAAAGACCCTTCGATTGGTATTCTGAAGGAGCCTTTCGATTGGCATTTTGGACAAGCCTTTCGATTGGCATTTTGGACAAGACTTTCGATTGGAATTTTGGACAAGCACTTCGATTGGCATTCTGAAAGACCCTTCGATTGGTGTTCTGAAGGAGCCTTTCGATTGATATTTTGGAAAAGCACTTCAATTGGCATTCTGAAAGACCCTTCGATTGGTGTTCTGAAGGAGCCTTTCGATTGGCATTATGGACAAGCATTTCGATTGGAATTATGGACAAGTACTTCGATTGGCATTATAACAGTGTCCTTCGATTGGAGTTCCAAAAGGTCCATTCGAAGAAGCATTCAAAGTGTCCATTCGAAGAAGCTTTCGAAGAGCATTCGAAGGAGGCCATCAGCCCATTCGAAAGGGAGCATTCGAAGTCTACCATCAGCCCATCCGAAGGGGAGCATTCGAAGGCCAGTTATATATCATTCAAAATTCAAAAAGGGACAAGATCCCATATGTTTAGCCAACGTTACAAATTCTCATTCATGGCTTTCAAACACATAATTAACGTTACAGATTCTCATTCATGGTTGTCCAACACATAATCAAGGTCATTTAAACCTCTGTCTTCCTGTCCCCTCTACCCCCCTCTATATAAAGAGATCACATTTGTTGCAAAAGAGAGAACAAAAATATACATAAAAAATTAAGAAAAAGAAGCAGGGAGAACTTGGAGATACGCTGCCCAATCCTTGCACAAGCCAAAGCTTCCACCCAGCAAACACCTCCACCCTTAGAACTACAGATCGAAACACATCTGTTTGGTAAAAGAAAAATCTCTAATCCCAAATTAATTTTTAATTCATTTTTTATTGCATATTCATGTTATTACTGTTTTCTTGTGAATGATTTAATGTGCTACATGTAAGCTACATCACAAAGAGGAGATTGTGCCATTGCTTAGGCACAATCTGAGTCCCTCCTTCGAATCCCCGAATAAAACAAACCCAAACCCAGATTCAGCAGGTGGAATAGGGAGAAGATTCGAATCAGGGGGTTAAACTCCCCCCTGGACCTTTAATATTTGTTTCGTTTTGCAGGAACTACATTCTCAGATTCCTGCTCAGAGTTTCGAAGCTCAGCAGTTTAGCTTCGTACTGGACCCAGGATTTCCAGATCGAAGGATGGCATTGTAATTGCAAGCTTCTCAAGTCATATTTAAAGCACGTGTTT